TCTTGGTATGAGACTTATGAGATTGGCAAAAGACAGAAAGTCTTATGAAGGAGAAAACATAAGAATCCTTAATTTATTTGCAGCATCTTTTCATGGAGCAAACATTTCGACCCTCCGACTTCAAAACTGTTTTGTTATATTCCATATGCTGCTCAAAATCCTCATTTTCTTTTAAGCCGTCATACATGAGCCCTCCATTAAGAAGCGCTCTCTTCATAAACACACAGCGTGCAGATTTGGACTTCCAAATATATTTCGAGTTTTGACATTTCAATGTGAAAAACATCTACCCTTGTCAAAGGATATCCTCTTATTATCAGAAATAAAATACAAGCCTCCGAAAATCATTGCTTCGTACAATAGCACAATGCTACTTAAACCCTCAAAATCTAAATCATTCTTTTTTGATTTGTGCTGTATTTATTTCAGCACAATTAACAAAGCATTAACCCCACAGTAACCAGAAAGTGACAAAACACATCACTTTTTTTCATGCAGTTTATACCGCTACACCTACTTCGTGCAACCCCTGAAAATCTTGCCATAATTCAGGTCCGTTTTGATGACACCGGAAGTGTGCAAGCAGCGTACTGGGCGCGTGAGCCAGAGCGCCGCGCACAGAGCTCTGCAGCGCGCGGGACTCCGCAGGACGGCAGAACCTGCCAAACAGCGGCGGGTGCTGCACCGGGACGGCCGCCCTGCTGCCTCTTCGGGGACCCAGCAGGAACAGGAACAGCGAAGACGAAAAGCACGTGTAATTCTTTTTCATAAGCATTCCCCGACATCCGTATTTGGAGAGGGGGGATCCCTGTAACCTTTGTTTCCCAGAAAACACAGAAAAACACACCGGAACATTCTTCAGAAAGGTACAGTTTGGCACCAGGAACACTGTGGTCAAACGAGAGGGGCCCTCCACGCATCAGAAGGCATCACGTGTCACTTGAGTTACACTTTCACTCTATTATTGTTGATGTTTTCACCTCTTTTTGAGCAGAGTATAAAACCAGGGGTTTGTTTGGATGTACAAGTACAGTGTATGATGCCCGAAGGCACACTCCAGAGCCCGACCGCCAATCACTTGAGTTTAATACACAATATAACGGGGAAAAAAAAAAAGCAAAAAAACCCCACCACTTTGTTGAAGCTGTTGACCAGCGCAGCAGCTAGCTTTCAAGGTTAAGCAAACTGCCCTGTATTTAAATAAAAATAAATAAAAAACACACCACACATACAAACCAGGGGATATACACAAAGTAGGAAAGCAAAGAGAAAATCCCAGAGAGATTCTGAAAAAACAATTCTGTGCAGACTCCATCAATTCTGTTCCTGTTCCACAGGAGCTGAAATTAAGAGTAAACCACAGGGAGCTATTAAGCATGTTTTTTTAAAAGGAGGTCCAAATATCTGTGATGCATACCCACTGGTCTGTGCAACTGCGAGATTCTGTGTTTGATTCAAGAAGTCTATGGAAATATTTCATTTGGACAGAGCGAACACATAAAAAGAAGGAATAAACAACTCCGCCTCGAGCCAGACACCATGCAAACAAATGCACACTGTCCAACAAAATCTGCCAACTCGGTCCATGAAAGCACATTCACATCATTAGTAACTGCCACACGCTAGTATCCTTTAGCAAACTTTCTTACAGTCTCTAAGACACACTTCCATCCAGACTTTAAGTTTCTATACGCGAGCCTGCAGACAGAAAATGGTAAAGAATAAAAGTTTAACTTTGATGGTAAAGGCCATGGGGAGAATCATTCACACACCAAATTGGCAGCGAAACAGAGATTTAATGATACCTTGGATGAGCTAATGCAAGCCCTTTCTACCTCCCAAGAACTCACTCTGTAAGATTAAAGTTCCAAATTTTCCAAGGTCCTTAATGCCAAAAGGTTAATTTGCAATCAAAAAATTAAACTATGTAAAATCGGGAAGAACAGGAACACCTCGTTTAAATTCTGGCGGAAGAGCCAAGCTGAAGGCATTAATTTTGTGGAACCAAAATAACAATGAGGGCTCTAGGGCAACCGCGACGGCGGGCACAGTGGGAACGAAGCAGCTCCATCTATCACCCGCGCCCCTGTCAAACGTGACACGGCGTACCAACCTGCGAGCGCCGGCCCTGCGTCAGCGCTGGGGGACGTGCCGGGCACCCTGCCCACCGCCGCACAACCCCAGGGCAGGCTCCTGCTGCCAGGCGCTTCCCCGGCACTGCCTGCCAGAGCACAGCGGCACGGCCGAGCTGCAAACTGCAAAGCTGAGGCTTCAGGCACAGAAAACCAGCTCTGGAGCAAAGCCACAGGGCCAGTGTATTCCCTTCTAAGCGAGCGCTGAAGAGCTGTTTTCCCTGGCCCCTTTCACCGCCCAGTACACATCCTGGGCAGAGCACCTTCAAGAAGGGACGGTCCCAACCCAGAAGAGTGCAAGCCTGCAAGAGCCTTTTCGGAGGTGCGTCTCCTCCTCCAGTTTAGGGCTCAGCTCTCGGTCCACGTCTCAAAGGGCTTCAGTGCTTCAAACCAGGAGGGCTCTGGCTGGAGCCCCGCGGCAGCACCGCCAAGGCAGGCACCCGCACGCTGCCGAGAGCGGACCTCAGGCGCTCTGACCTGTGGCGCCCACCCACCACTCAGCACACTGCTTCACACAAGCAGTTCCGAAGCCCTGAACCCTCCTCAACTCATCACCTTCTCAACTCTTCATTCTTCTCAGATTTAAGAGGAGAGGCCGAGAGGGCTGGGGCTGTCCAGCCTTCGGGAGAGAAGGCTCAAGGGCACCTCATGCATGTGCAGCAGTACCTGATGGGAGGGAGCGAAGTCAACAGTCTATTCGCAGTGGCACCCCGTGACAGAACAAGACACAACGGACACAACCTGGAACACAGGGAATTCCCTCAAAACCTAAGAAAAAGTCTTTGTACTGTGGGGGCGGACAAACCCGCAGCAGGTTGCCCTGAGAGGGCATGGAGTCTCCATCCCCGGAGACACTCCAGCCCAGTGGAGAAGGCGCTGAGCAGCCGGCCCCGCTCTGCGCAGGGCTGGTACGCACGGCTCCGCAGGGTCGCCCAGCCCCTGTGCCTCAGTGTGTCCTGCTGGGACCTGTGGATTCCGCTCTGGAGACCACAGACCTGAAAATAAGATACTCAAATATCAGGCATTACAACGTGCAAGTCTCTTCCCGAGTCCAGGGCACCGGACCCTATTTAAAGTAAAGAAATGACCAAGATAACAGTTACCTGCATCACCGGGAAGGAAAAGCTATCATCATTTGCATGACATCCTGAGAAACTTAGACAAAACTAGTACATCAGTAATCTTAATAGGTTTGTTACACATTAAACAGCAAATACGATGATATGCTCCGTTTGAAAGACACATACACTAAAGAGGGGAAAGGCCACCGGGAGGGGAACGTCTTTGTTGGGTATATAACACGAGTTTGAAGCCAAACAAAAATGTAATGATATTTTGAAATAGCAACAAAGACCCTTTTTTGCCTCCACATAAGTGATCTGCCCTGACAGAACATGGCTATTTACAGACAAATATGTACTATACACTCCCCTTTAGTTCAAGTAAATGGAAACAGGCAGCAAAACCTGATCGTACAACAAAAAAGACATTTAACATTTGATGCTCTCTAATCCCCCAACTTGATCTCCTCTTTCCTATTTCCTAGGCTTTCATTTACCTCTGCGAAAGGAAACGTCTTTAATGCCCATGCTGACTTTTTAAAACTCTTTGTGACCCAAAATTAATTTAGAAAAATTTGTTTCTGTTAAACTTTTCAACAACTAAATTGTTCTTTTAATAAACGATGACGAAGCCAAGCACTACGTTATTCCAGGAGGAAGAGGCACATGCTATGGGTGTAATGGGTGGGAAATTAAGAAGTGTGACTCCTGGCTCAGCTGTTGATCTGCTGCCTGACCTTCCGCCACTTCCTCTGATTATCTCCCACTTCTAAACATAGGAAGCCTTTTTCTTCCCAGTAATGCAGACCTGCACAGGGTGCCTTCTCCTCTCATTTCTGTTATCAACAAGATAGCAAGATCATCATCAAGATTAGCTCTCTTGCTTTTAGACAGGTATCAAAAGACAGCTATTCTGTATTTGTTTTCAATGATTTTTTTCACCTTTCCTCCAGAAACTGGGGCCACAGCAGTCAGTACTGCAATAGGATATTTATCTAAGTATTCACCATTGTCATCTTTGACAATTGCTCAGTAATAGATAGAAATTATGATCCGTGAAGTAAATATCCTCAACAGATATGAACACTGCCTTCAAAAACTAGATGGATCTTATCAGCAATAACAGCTGAGTCTCCTTCCAATAAAATTATCATTGAACTATCAAAAGCAAAGAATCTTACATTATTTATAAAGCGTTCCTTGATCTTTCATTTTCTGAAACCAAATCAGGCAATTTCAGGAAGCAAAACTAAATGCATGAAGAAAGAAAAGTGAATGGCTGTCAGGACTTCAAGGTTCAGTGGCATTCTACCACTGACTGCAAATAACGGGTCATTTAAACTCTGTTTCTCACAGCAACGCTCAACTTGAAGAGCTATTAAAAGACTTAGGCTGTATCTCTAAATAAAACTTTAAACAGAAGGGAAGATGATGCAGTGGAAGAGAAACACCAACTGTTCTCCTGGTTCCACAGACATTCCACTCTCTGTTTCTGTATCAAAAGGAACATTCACACTATCACCCCTCTGTAGTCATTACAAAACTATTTAGTGAATTCTAGACGTATTTCCGCTCCATCCCTCAAGCAACTGAACAGCCAGAAACGGAGGAGAACGAATCCGTAACCGCAGCTCAGGAACCCATCCTATGAAGGAGGATATAAATATATTGCTCGAGGTTACTGCCAAAGCTTTTCCAGGGAGCCGCTGTAGGTGCCCCTGCTGCAGCAGGGGGTTGGACTGGATGAGCTCCAGAGGGCCCTTCCAACCCTGACCATCCTGTGAGTCTGTGTCTCTTCTTCACCCACCTGCTTGTCGATCCAGCTGAGAGCGAGAAGGCAGGAGAGACTGATCTCTGCCCCTCCTCCAAGGAAGGAGACACAGTTCCGTTGCCATCAGGTGTTTCTGTTGGGGGTATCTGGGATTTTCCAAGGACGATAGCTGGGTGATGCTCCTCCGTATGTTCTACCAAGAAGAAAGGCAGAGATTAGCAAGAACGACGAAGCAAAATACTATTGTTTAAATTTTTGCAGCTGGGAGATAGATTTTAAGAAAAACCAAAGTTTTAAAATATTAAATACCAACACCTTATTACCACTTATTTTCTTTCCAAAACTCTTCACAGTTTCAAAGGTGTAATTTCTTTTTCTGCATAGTAAAAAACCCAGCCTCTAAGAACCAGAGACTGAAACGGGAATGTTTCATTGTTGTAGGTTTCAAACACAAACAAGGAGAGAAATAAAGGGTAAGGATATTTGTCACATTTCATAAGATGGGACTATTTCAGAAATTAGCAAACCCTTAATGAGACAGCACTGTTCTCTGCTTCTTGCTACCAATTCCCTGCACTCACTGCATGAGACCGCTTGATAGCTGTAAAGTTTTACAGATGGAGTTAACAGGCTTGTTTTCAACGAGAGAAGCATTGCGATTTATTTCCTTATGCATCTAAGAAAGACAATGCCAATCGAGATAACTATTCCCATTTTTTTAAGAGCAAAAATCATTTCTAGTCAACACATATCAGACACAAATTGTAAAACCGTTCCATTATTTTTGTGTCAAACGTTTTTATCTATAAGAAGATGAACAGTCCTCTGAAAAGGTACCTTCTACCTCTCTAAAGAGAAAGCAGATCTAGCCTGGAAAGTATGCTATGGAAAGGTACACTGCTCTTACGCCACACCACAAATATTTTCAAAGGAGTTACTTAACTAGAAAGTTGCAGGAGACATTAGAACCATACTGAGGCTCATCTCGTTAATAATGCTTATTATGGCCATTCACAGAAGCGCTCCGTCCACCCGCCCGAACCGAGCCACGTTCCTGCTCCAGCCACGTTCGCTTCTCTGCCCCTCCAGAAATGATTTTGACAGAAATGGCCAAACAGAACTGTAATTAAAGTGTGGAAGAGCTACACAATCCTTGAATTTGGCTACACTTTGCCCTTTCTCTTCCGCTTCGATGTATAATTAAATATCAGGAGCATATTTTTATCTGTTGAAAACAACCGGCAGATTACAGTGAGTCAGTTGTCCAACCAATGACATATAACTCTGAAATTAATAGGTTAAAAACAGCAAAGGCCCTGTGCAGTACAACCACCCAGAAGAGGTGTATCACAAATAGTTATCAAATTCTTACGGTGCTTCCCCTTAGGCAAAGTAAAAAACCCTATGTTTAACAGGTACAAAAATGTAAAGACTGGAAATCAAACATAAGTTTAAAGATGCAAAACAAGACGATGTAAATCAGGAAGGGATGATTAAAACACCACCAAAACCAGAGTGAGATTTTCAGAGAGGTTTAAGTTACACCAACCAACACTACGGTAGAGGGCAATGGGAGATGCAAAGGGTTTGTTGTTTGTTTGGAGTTTTTTTAAGGAAAAAAAAAAAAAAGTGTATTTAACTTCTGTACAATGCCACTACTTCCACAAGAATCCAAATACAGTGGGGAAGGAACGCATACAAAGCCTTTGCTCTTCTCAGCAGCTGCGCTTTCCAACAGCAAGTCGTCAGCCCGCTGCTGGTCTTCTTCCCTTCACATAGCATAATTTCCAGTTTAATAAAAAGGTAATTGCTGTTAACAAGGAACGCTGAGGAAACAAGCTTTAGGCATTTGCTCCTTCACCCATGAATCTTCTTGGTTTATTTTTCTTTTTCGTTTTGTTTGGGGTTTTTTTTTAAACGGTTTACAAACAGTCAACCAGGTGCCAATGTTTGATATTAAACTAGAAAGTGAAATTTCAAAGATTATTGAATGCTCGGTGCACAAAAAGCATAATGAATATTTTGCAGGTTTCTCAGAACCAGACGAGGTGGTATCATGTATTTAAGTCGACAGGATACAGGTCGATACACCTGATATAAGCTATTTTCTACCTGAGCACTGTTTTGGAAAAACTATATGGCTTTACTTCAGCTTCTCCAAGTCTGCGGTTCGGTGCACAAAGCTTACAGCGAAGATGGAAACCCAGTAACTCACAGTAGCCGACCTCTCCAGAGAGCATCGCTAGAAATTAATATTTCAACGTCTGTGATCCCATTATCTAATAACACATTGCTTCTGTCTCTGCTACAGAAGAGGAGCATCACTGTAAATTATGTCAAACAAGATAAACTTTATCCTTGAGATTCCTTAATTTTTACCCTTCACATGGAAAGGATTATGCACTGCATCAAGGTCTGCATGAAATGATAAGGATAAAATTTGCACTATTATATTGCTATTTTAATTTATTTTTATTCTTGAGAGCTCTGCTAGAGGAGACGGCCAAAAATGAATTCCGTTCAACTGGCAAAGAGCAGGGATTTGTGAGAGCTGATGCAAACTGAACTGCCGTATTTTCCCAAGAACACAGAACAGCGCATCCAATTCCGGTCAATGGAGTTCTCTCCAAAATTCAGGACCTTGAACAGATTGTAACTCCACAAGTTATATTAGGTTGGGGAATGCTCTTCTAAATCACAGATTCAGTATATGTACACTGCCAAAGCAACCAGTAACATAAACCAAATGAGCCTGAACGAGCCTAAAGGGAAGAAGTCCAAAGCACACAGGGGTGTTCCCTTGGCGCTGTGGGCGGTGAGGACAACAAAGGTGCGCTGGATGCTGCTCCTCACTCGTACAGAACGGGGTGACTGCAGTGGTGCACTCCCACTTTCCACTGCGGTGAAGTATATAAACACAAAACGAAGCGAGTTAAAAAGAGAGAGGCAACATACTCTACAAACAGTCTAAAAGAAGCCGAAGTATTTTATTGCTTCAGCCTCAGCACAAATAAATGCGTGTTCCAATCCACACAAAGGGCTTTGCAGTTCCCGATTACCGACTCCCTATCATATTAACAATACAGAAAAGCTGAAACCCAGCAAGCAATACCCGGCATCACCTTCACTGCAAAGACACAGATTGTCCCGTGCCCACTCTCAGCCACTTCAGTAGATTTGGACTGGAACCCAAGATCCCATTTCAACCAGCTAATTAAATTACGTGCCTAAATGAAACACATCTATACACGATCCCACTTAAATCTAATAAATTGTGTATTTATTATGGGTTGTGCTTATATATCACACTGAAATCAATGGCAGTCAGTCTTTTTAGGCTCTGTTTGATATTTATGCTTGTTTTACCCCTTAAGGACTGTAGGAGAAGAACAACGGGAGGAAAGACCATCTCTTTGGGAAACCCCCCACTTACTAGCGTGGATCAATGAGTGGGACTACATTAAACAACATCACTAACCTGTGGCCGTCGGCAATTCTTTGACAGTGACTTCTTCTTTGTTTTGCGCACTTTCTGTTTTCCTCTTACCACTTTTCTTCCACCGATTATTTACTTGATCCACCAAAAATTGAAATTCACTTCTGTGTTTGTTTCCTGCAATGTAACAGCGCATTACTGATCATTGCCACCGGACTCTTAAGGTATGCCAGAGAAAGTGAACAGGATGTGAACAGAAATAAGCACAACATACTGCACTGAAAACATTTTTGTTACAGCAAATGACAACCAACTCATCCCTGCAATACGTTCCATATTCTATTAATGATCCCAACCTGTGTCTATGCTTTTACAGAGTTGCCCAGTAGCCAAGAACACTTGCACAGATGAAAACCGAACTTTGGCACAGAAGAACTGTGTTTGTTTCTTCTTTATATTAACAAGTTTAGGGGGGAGGAAAAAGACAAGTATTGCAATGACCATTGTGACAACATTTACTATTGTAGTCATGGCACAAAGCTTGTCAGAGTTGAAGGAGCGGCTGGACGCCGGCGTTAGTCACACGCTTCAGCTGTAGGTAGTCCTGCAGGGAGCCCCCCGCCAGAGAGAAGAGTAAAATCGCACAACCACTCTGCCAATTGCTTTAAAGTTGCTTTGGGGTTTTCCCCCGTTTCTGCAGTAAAGCAAAGTCGAAAGCCTTTGGGTCATGCTTATTATACTGTTTTCATTCAGATCCTCTAAATCACGGTTAATTGCTCTTTGGCATGCTCTTTGCACTCTCAGTCACTTAGTATGTTTTAAGCAATCCTCCGGTATTCAGTCAAAGCAGTGTTGTCTCTAATCTAGATACTTCAGATTCTTTACTCAGAGGCTGGGAAAATACCCGGTCTCCTCAGACAGATGATGCGGATTACCTAACCCTTGCTGGGCACGAAGGGAACACATTGTTTTATATACAGAACACACCAACTTCTACTGAAACAGCGTATTTGACTGTGGCTACCCACAGCCAGCACGGCATGAAAGCGGGCTGGTCCCTGCGCAGGGCTTTCTGTCGGTATGTTACAGCGAAGGCAGCAAACACGGAACTCCTTTATTTGGAAGGAATTGCAACAGTCACGCTGAGAAACAGATTTGTGTGTGTAACCCAAGAGTACACCTCCTGTATAACCCAAGAGCACTGCGCGCACAGTCTTTCTTTGCACACACAGAACTGACTGTTGTTTAAGGTCTCTGCTCTTCCCCAGCCACACGCACTGCCCAAGCTACACTGGCAGGACAGACCGAGATAAACCCCAGCAGCAATGATGGGCAGAAAAGCAAACAAGAATCCTCAGGACAAACGAGAGCCGAGGGCTAGCAGTGGGCAACCTGGGCCACCTGCAGCACTGGCACTGCAGAGCGGACCCCTCTGGCTGCGCAGCGTCCAACTGATGACAGCAAAGCACACGTCCAGGAGAACCGGGGTACTGAGAAGTCCACTTGGAGCCCAGCTGAAACGAAGAACTTCCTCATTACTTTTCTGGTTTGTCTGTTTGCTTTTGTTTTCTTTTTTCAAATCAGTCTCTGAGCGACCTCCTTTCTCCTCCGCGGGGCAAGGAGAGGGGAGAGGCAGGACCACCCCGACCCTCCCCGCAGCTGCAGCGCGGGCACTCTCTGGGTTTCCACCCACATCTCCCCATCACCTGCACTCCTCTGCCTGCACCGGCGGTTCTCCATCCAGTCCCCCTCCTGCCCCCCACACCGCCCCATCCCTCCTGGTCCCGGCTCCACGCTGGGGTCTGGCTGCCCCACGAACAGCCCTGACCTCCTCCTGGACCGCGGCACATCTTCCCGCGGCCTGGCCGAGCGCTGCAGGGGTACAGCACCTTTAATCCCAGGATCCTGGGATCCTTTAATCCTGCTGCAGTGGCAGGAGCGGGGAAAAGCCCAGATAAAATCCTCTCAAGTTCTGCCCCACTGAAGGAAACAGCTTTAAACCGACTCCCTCTCCCTGCGTAGCTGAAAACGCCACATAAGGTCAACAACTCCTTTAATAAAAAGAAAGTTCTTGTCCCAGCTGCTTGTGTTCGAGCCGCTGCATGTTCATTATGTAATTCCTTTGGCACTTCAGTTTTTCCAGTATTACTATTTTTTGTTGTTTTGTTCTATGGTGCAACTACAAAGCTTTTCAAGTAAAAAAAGAAATGTCCTGGCAAAGCAAGGCACTGTTCGGATGCGCTGTAAATCCCCACTGCGCTGAAATTCCACGCCACACACATTTCATAAAACACCGGGCATTGCGGTAATAAAACAACCACAGATATAATTACAAATATTTAAAACACAAAACATAAAGCAGCAAGCCTCTGAATAACCTTGCAAATTAAAAGATTTATAAAAAGAAAGAGCAACAGAATAATTTTTTTTAAACAAATGTATTTCTTTTCCTGTAGATTTTTTTTAACTCTTTAAATAGAGGCCTGACCATGAGAAACGCAGGACGAGGCAGACGCCGGGCTGCGGGTGTCACTCAGCTCCGAGGAGCAGAAGGGAACTGCTGCAGGGGACAGCGTATTTAATTGCACCTTCCAGGCACAGACCCCGGCAGCTGCTCAAGCAAAGCTTCCAGCGAGCATATAAACCATCCTCAGGTTCAGCAAGCCAAAATATTAATTGGTATTTCAAAAACACTTCATACACAAAAAAATAAAACCCAAAAAATACCAACAGTGTCATTTGCAATTTACCAAGCGCAAAGGAAATTGTAAAGACTAAGAACAAAAAAAGAGTTTTATCACAGCTGTTTTATCTCGCTTTTCAACAAGGCTATTACCTAGCTCCAGCGTGTTGTGTGGCTCATATGGAAATACGGAACAAGTAGTACATCGGTTTTTTTCTTTTATTCTGAACTTATGCCAGAGTTAATTAATTCATTAATTCAGCTGTGAATTAGGGACCTAGGGTGCAAACGTTGTAAATTAAAAAGAAAAAAAACCCCTTCGTTGTATAATAAAGCTTTTTAAAGTCAATCTGTGCTACAGTGAAAAAGAGGCATTTGATAAAAGTTCTTTTAATCTCTTACTGTCCTCTAAACTTAATGTACAATTCTTTTTTCATTCTTATGATTTCTTCCCTATTGCTTTTAGGAGAAATAATTTGCTGACACTAGCTAACATTTACCTCTTTGGTCATCACTATTTATTAATTTTAAAACCATATGTTCCCATTAAAACATTTTTCTATCATCTCTTTTTTTCCTCTCTCCTTTTTTTTTTTTCTTTCTTTTTTTAATTTAAAATGTTCAATTGAGCTGCCTGAGGCTAATTCATTCACTTGGTAGTCTTGGTATTTTTGAAACCGTATCCTTTTAACAATATAAACTCAATAAAATACCTAGTTTTGAAAATTTAGATGACGCTTAGTATCTTCTTGTTCTAAAACGTGTACAACAGATGAAGAAAAGAAGCAGCAGGACGGGCAAGGCGCGTGCCGGGGGCAGTGCCAGCAGTGCCCAGCAGCCCGCTGCACAGCGGCCGGCTTCCACAGCCCAGTCGTGCAGCGCGGCGTCGCGGGGTTGCAATGCGAACGCAGCCAGGGGTCCAGCTTCACGAGGGATTTGTGCACATCCAGAATTCAAAAGCGGTGTGTGAAGTGGGTTTCTTGTCTAGGATGAGTTCCCCGGTGACAGCACCGCACCGGAGCGGCACATCCCCGCGGCAGCTCCTTTGCTGCCAGGTTACTCCATGCCAGCCCTGCCACCCCCAAACGCTCCCCATCCACGAGGAGAGGGATCGGGGCGAAGGCGCTCACAGCTGACCGTGAGCCCGGGCACCGTCCTCGCAGGCTTTTGCCCAGGCTCCCCCTGCCTGTTTCGCAGAACGCCAGCGGAGCGCTAGCGGCCAGGTACGGGGCGCTCGCTCCGCTCTGGGGCACTCCCGCAGTCACTGAACTTTGCGTTTGTTCTTTACAGAACTACTAAAGCCTTGGCGGGGGAACAGAGCCAATTTGGCATTAATACTTTTTAAATTATTTTACTTTTTTTTTCTGCATTGTATTGCTAGAGATTTCTGCGCGGCAAGAGAGTCATTATCAACCAGTTACTTGGAATTAGAGAAGAACGCTTAAGATTCAAAACCACAAACAGTGCATGTACACTGAAAAAAAAATACATTCTCAGACACAGCAACAAAAAGCAAGGGAAAAATTTGCTAAAGATTTAGGCCCTTATTTAGCCTTCACAGAAACCCAACTAAAATCAACAAGGCTAAATCTAGCTGCATTATGGAATAATTTATATGCCTGGAGCAACGCAAGGAAAGACAGGAAATATGACCATATTGCAGATTTAAATACACCCTTAAGTATAATCAGAACAAGTTGTCCCTTCATTGCGCTGCTCCGCTGTGGCTGAAAGCAGAAGTTTGATGTTCATGGAGTATTGTTGTAGCGTTACACGGCTAAGCACCGTGTCTGAGAGCACAAGCAGAGCGCAGGTGAAGTGAAATGAGTGGGAAACAACAGGAAAGAATCTGTGAATAATAAAACACCACTCGGGAGCTAAGTAGAAAGGAATGCTTCGTGGGTACAAACACACAAAGAAGGGTCAGGAAACCATCTGTAAAAATCAGTTTACATGAGCCATTTCTGTGCTGAATTACTACAACAGGGCGCAAGCCCTGCAATCTAACTCTCGCAAGAACTTGCTTCTAAACTAACCACAAAGACGGTTAGATGGTTCCATGGAGAGAGAAAACACGGTTCTCAAGTTGAAGCACACAGTAAGGAGAAGCACAGTTTAAAATGCTGTGCTTTCCCAGGGTCAAGTTAAGCAGGAATCAGTTCTCCGTTGAAAAAAATGATCCGAAAAACAAACCTCACAAACAAAAAAAAAAACCAACCCCACCTCCAAAAAACCACCACAAAATTGTATCATTGAACTATAGCTCTTGCTTTGATATTTTTCTTATTTTTTGTCTCTTCTCTTCTTTTCCTTAATTATTTATTCCAGTTACACTTCCCAAAACAAATGCTGCGGTTCTGTTGGGGCAGAGGCAGGTTTAACAACCACCACAGGCACACGGCTCTGGCGCAAACAGAGGGGAGGGACTCAGCACGAAAAATGAAACTAACAGAAACAAACCCAGAAAAAAAAACGCACCCAGTTTGCGCTGAATCCCAGTTGCCTGCACAGGGTGGAGGGGAAGAGGTTACCCAAATGAGCAGAGTATTCTTTTTAAAAGAACATGTGAGTGCTTGTGGAGAGCAGCATGAAGGAAGGGAGCGAATGCGAGGAGCACTGTGAAACCCTGGATGATTTGAGAATCACAGTATACAAATAAAATACGGAAAAAGCCTTTTTGGCTCAGTTAAAACATATTTTTTAGCAGTAAGGGCCACTTTGACAACTGCTAGAAGCGTAAAAAACACATGGTTGAGGAAACCTGCAGCCATAAAGTATTTTAGAAATGCCATATTAAATACAGACTACTGTGGCTACACTGCTCGTTAGTTAATGTCACTCTGTGCTGGACAGTGAGCCCAGAAAAGGAAGGTATAGAAAGAGTAAATTTATACAAACTTCCCTGCTACAGGATGAGTTGGAGAACTTGGGAAGACCAACCACCACCCAGAACGCAGCTGCATTTTAAATAAAACCAGTGCCTGATCATTAAGAGTGTAGAGGAGGAGGGAATATCCTGAGGAACAGGAAAACGCAGTAGCTGTGCTACTGGGTATACTGGTGAGTGCAGGGCCAAGACAGCCAGCATTCACCCCACCTTGCCAGCTCGGCACCCTCCTTGTCGGCAGACCCTCTGGAGTGGCCCAGAGAAGCCTGTGCCAGCAGAACTGCCGGCAGAGCAGAAGTCATACAGCGCCCAGAACCTCAAAAAAGGGAGAAAACAAGAGCAAACCTGAAACTGAGAAAATTCCGTACGTATAAAAACACTCAGGAGCGCATGCCATTGTTCACAGGGACACAACAGTAGGTCATCAGGGAGTGACTTCATACACACAGATTCACATGCTGCAAGCCCGAGTTTTAACAAAGTATAGAACTGGCAAACTAATTAACCAATTTACATGAACCTCTGAGTAATTCAGATTATTGTCAGAGAGCGTGCCAACAAGACTGGGGCAAGGAAGGGTGAAATCTGACAAGCAAAGCACGACCAGCTCTCACTGCAGTCACAACTGCTCTTCTGCTCCTCAAAACCGGCATGACAAGAATTGCAACTAGTCTCGCGCAGAGCAGGACACCGAAACAGAGCTGCCCCTCCCCGTGACAGCCAGCGGCCCAGGCAGCTCGACGGGGCACCGCTGGCACGCAGCCCCGCCGCTGGCACGCAGCCCCGCCGGGGTCTGGGGGACTCCTGGCAGAGACGTTCTGCTCCTCATTTCTGCCTGAGGGCTCCCAGGGAAACCGTACGACTACGCATCGCACAGCCAGGGCAGGAGACAGAAAAACTCTACTTTGCTGGTCTTTATGCCCATCAAACATAGGAGGAACATTAAGTTAGGTAGAACGTGCATAAATGGAGATGTGCTAAGGAGGCCGTCAGCTTCCATCTCAGTCTTATCCAGCCCCGGCAGTGAGTTTTGTCAAACGTCAGTACTTAACAGTGACTGAGTTTCACAGAGGAAGTTTCAGCCCAAACAGAGAACTTCCAGCTTTGATTTATTAAATGGGGGGCGGGGAAGCACACACACATGAAAAGCATCACTGTCGTGTGTATATGTCAGTACAAAGGAAAAGAAAGTGAATTTAAAAGCAGAACAAAGTGAAACTCGCATATTACTTACGATAATCAGCGTGGATCTCATCTATTTCTTCCTCTGTCTGGTCCTTTGTGAAGATCAAGCTCTACAGAAATCACACAAATGTTTATTTACAGAAAGAAAAAGATGATAAAGCCACATACTTTAAAACTAGAGAGTTAAAACTGGAAGAAGGATCAGCTGTCTGTTTTTCCCCCCACCAGCTCTTACCATCTCATCCACAGACAGTAATGTATATTTATAGTATGCATACACGCTGTCTTGCTGTGCTTTCACAAAGTCAACAGGACTAACCCAAGCCACCCCATAAAACACCCAGCATGTGTGCACCATAAAATATCTCCTAATACTGTGCAATAAACGTGCTCCAAAAGTCACAAAAGTATCACATGTCATGGGAAAAGAACAGGCACTATTGCTGATACGGAAGCAAGGAATTTGCTAGCTAAATCCTAGAGAATTCTAGGAAGCAAAATATTCCCCACACTGCCATGGAGGGTCAAAATCCTCCAATATGACCAAGGGGAACATTTCTCAAGAATTTTTATTGCAATCAAAAAAATGTTCCTACTGAAATGGTTTGGGCATAGAAGCACCAACAGTACAGGAAGAACTGCCCATGACAAATGAGCAATATGAGAAAATCATGTCGATTATAAGATGGCATACGCAAATTCCAACATGCAACCTGGGAATTCCCATAATAAAGTGAAGGGCAAACATGTTCAGCGCCCACTCTGCAATTTCCCCTAGCCATCGCCCTCTTTGAGAACAAAGATGCTTAGCTTACATTTTCACTGGTTTTGTTAAATTCAAGCTGAACCCGAATCTTCTCATTCTTTTCCAGCTCTTTAACAACTTCTGCAACTGTTTGAAAATACAAGAAAGGGAGCTGCTAAATAAAAAGATGTAACAGCAGTGAACGAAACTACCATGAATTTAAATCACCAAGAGACAAACCAGCATTAGCTCTCCAACAGCGAAAACTCGAAAACCCGACTCCAGTCACAGCCCAATCCCAAGGGCACAGATTGCCTCCAGCGCTCGGAGGGCGTTTGCTCGTGCAGAGGCACCGCTCCCGTCCCGTCCACGGCAGCTGAGCAGCAGAGGCAGTGCCCGAGGCTCGGGCGCAGGAGGCAGGTTGGGAGCCATGGGCAAGCTCTCAGCCACCCCCCAGGCCACTGCTCTCATTGCCTTTGTATTAAATTCATGGGAAAATGTAGTCTTTTCAAATCATATTTGAATCTCTCTCTAGCATACTATCGTGTTTCTGTGGTGCACAGGCATGTCTTTTCTAAAAAGAGTTTTCATTTTATAAAGTATCTTGAAATTGAAGATAAAAGAATGACATCTACTGTTTATCTTATTTTTACCTCCAAGGACTTCTTCCAAGGCAACAGAAAACCGTCTGCAGGCTTCTCTCCAAAACCCACAGCCCAAGGATGAATTACAACTACTCTAACGATGAAGTCGGACACCTCAAAAGCATATAAACAGTTTGTTAACATTTAACTAAAACTGCAGCTATGCAGGACCCTGCATGGTTTATTTTGACACTTTTACAAATCTGTTTCTACACTTGATCATTTTCACAGAGCTACTAGGTAGCTACGGGTATTTAATAAAACAAACACTTTCACTAGACAGTAAAGCAGACAGAGAACAAAAGCTTATTAAGCTGTGAAGGAATAAAACCTGTTCAAAACCAGTCTAAGCAAAATCCAGGAATTTGGCACCAATGCTTCCTCAGCAGCTCAGCTATTCATATTATGTAGTGACCTTAGGTTCACTGCTACCGCGGAAAATGCATGTCTGCATCTTAAGTGTGGGAGTTTAATAATTCATCCTTTATAAATAGGTATCAAGCCAGAACTCAGTAAAAGTTTAGCTAGTCTGCCCTGAATAATGCAAAAGTAGATTGTAACACTCTGTGAAACTCTTCATTTCGCTGGCTTGGATGAACGAGGCAGGCAGAGAGCGGGTGCTGCTTCATCACCGGCATCCCGTGAAGAATCGCCCCACGAGCCGAGTACCTCCCAGCACGTTGAAGGATACCAGAGAACCGCCCGTTCTGCACAGCACCGTTTTAGCACGGCCTGAGCGGACACGAGGCTGCAGTCAAGACCGCATCCACTTCTGCCGCCGGCCCTGCTGCGGCTAACGGCAGCACTGCAGCCCCAGCCCCGCCGCCCCTCCTTCCCCACCCGCAGCTGCCCGGCTCCCGGCCGAACCAGGACACCTCTTCACCGCAGAACCGCTCCGCTCCTCTGCGGCCATCGGCCAAGGGCGTACCTCCACGACCCACGGCAGCTTTATGTCTAACTCCTGCTGCTGGGGGAACTCAGAGAGGGGCTTTGAGAGTGTTTAATTAAATTTCCAAGATTAACATAAATCATAGCGTAATTGAAATTCTGATACAAGTGCTGTTCTCACGGACTTAAACAACAAACTTCCTAAGCTTCTATTGTTGCTGAAGTCAAACACAATTTCAACTCTATGTGCTGGTTCTCATCACAGAGACTTTCTGAAGTCCTAGAAAACAAGTTTTGAAAGCATTTATGTTTATTTTCAGAAGTGCTTAGGCACAAACTAAGCAGTGACACTTGGCTCCTAAATCACTTACGCATTTAACTTTCTTAGTCAAGTTCTAAAAATGGTTAAAGGAGCAAAATGAAAAAGCAAATAGTGTTGGTTAGCGTTGGTTGCAAACTCACTTGTCTCATTCACTTGGCTTCCACAACCCAAGCCAAGAGCTGGCAAGCAAAATTGATTTTTAAAAGCAGGAGCCTCAAGTTTGGATAGTCCTCAGTGACTGACTTTTTTTTTTTTTTTTTCTTCCCAAAAAGCACCGCATCTGGTGGTTCTGCCTGTTTAATAGAGGAATTGAACACTAAAAACATACTTTATTTTTGAAATGCCGCAGTAGAAGTTGTGGCTATTCAGCATTTCCAACCACCTGATCACATATAAAACCACGTGCATGGAGTTAACATACGAGCTTTTAAGAGTCACTTGAAATAAACACTCCCCTATACCATCAAAGTTGTTAAATGATAACTGACAAATTAAGTGGTTTTTACTGTGTTTAAATCTGGCAGCCTTCTCAAAGGGCACTTCTCACCCCTGACCCAGATTACTCCCGTTCCAGCTAAGGAGCACACAGCAGCTGTGAAGCGGAGCTGTGCCCCGCAGCGGTTTGCGACCTGACCCACGGGGATGCTGCGCCTCAGCTCACTGCCCTGCCGCGCCGCCCTGCTCGTCCTTTCGGCTCCCGACAGCCCCGCTGCCTGCGACACCAAAAATTTATCCGGTCCAAATAGCTTCCGAGCCCTTCAATACACACAAAAACATTCAGAATTGTTAACGACTTCTGAAAGAAGTGGTGAACCTGTGTTTCAGGACTTAAATCTCTCTGTAAACATGAAAGTTAGAGACCAAAATGAGGGTGAGGAACAGCATCTCTCACCTCTCTGCCTGTGAGGTAAGCCAGACCAGCTCTTGCCAGCAGCAGGACTGGTGTGTGCTACAGACCCAGCAGACAGCAAGCTACCTCCTGAAACCAGTGCAGAAAATACAATAGCAGCTCTCTGAGAATTTCCAGGACACTAATGGCTGTGCAGCTCCCAGGAGAGTAATGTCAGAACACGATCCCGTTAGAAATTCCTTTAAAAGGACTGTTTGCCATAAGCTTCTAATCAAATGAAAAAATAATATCACTATAAATCTGATATCTATCTCTCACCCACACAACGCCGGTGTATTTGTGCTGTTACTGGTATTGCTTGCAGAACTGAATTGAGAGATGATCAATGACACCTCTTTAAGAAACGATGTATGTTTTCATCTTGTATAAAACAGAATATAACAAGATAAGCTGGGACAATTCTCCCTCTAGCTCATACAAGCTATTCAGGATGGAAAAATGGCCAGACTGCCTACAAAGCCTGGCAGCACAAATACCCTCCTCTGATCTCACCCTCCCTGTTCCAGCCCTGGCATTTTCCAGGCATTAATCCTGAACACATACAAACAACAGACTGCTATTTAAAGGAAGTTTATATTGCACTCACATTAGAGACTAAAACCTATTCTTCTTATCCCATACAGCTGTTTAACACTATATATAGTCTAATGGTATAAAATTGCTGCCAAACACCTAAATTGATATAAACATCAGCCAAACATTAACACTTCCTTATTAATTCATTCGACCCTGACCTATCATCTCCAAAAAGAAATCCAATTTTGAAATTAAATCTGATAAAAAGATAAAAGTCTCAGTGTATAGCAGGAAAAGAACAAATTCCGAACAAAAGATAAGTTAATAATCCATTCATTTACTAAGAACCTCAGATATTTCTCATTTTTTGACTAAAAGCCTCGGAGTCTAATTTGGAGGCACTCATTAAAATGCACAGTCAATAGAAACACAGAACATTTTTCAGAACAGGGTTAGTAAACCAGGAAGCATCAAAGAAATTCAACACAAATTTACATCCTTGCTGGGTACTTCTAGAATATAGCAACACATTTCTGATTGTCCTTAACTTTCCTTTTTTTTTGCATTAATCTTGATTTATGTAAGATAAATTCTTCCAGCTCCAGTTTCCCCAAATATTCAAGAAAGCCTTATTCCTACCCTGAGAACTAAGAGAAGGAGAAATGCATACAAATAGTTTGCAATGATAACAACTTTCCTAGAATTTCTAACTTACCTGATTTGGGATTTAGAGAATCACACTGAGCATTATACATGTGCACAAATTCTTGGTGTCTTTTAATGAGCTGCTGTCGGGTCCCGTGGGTAGACAGACCGTGTTCCTTCAGTTTCTTCTTCAAATCACGATCAGAGAGCAAGTTGTAAACAACTTTAGACATAGGCTTCCTTTTGTGAGCAGAACTGCAAAAGGAAAATGAAAAACTTTTTTTAAATTAATACTCCTATGAAAATCAAAATATTGATGTACATTTTTACGGGGCATTTCACCCACTCTGGGTAAGAAATACTTGAAAGAATCATTTCAGCCATGACAGACACACAACCAATTACACAGGGTTTCACCCATGCAACAGCAACAGCTCTAGGAAGCAAGAACACTTTTTCCCTCTACCACAAAGAAAATTTCAAATGTGCAGAAATCAATAGGTCTAGTCTGATTTTCTTTAGGAAACGATGCAAGCACTACTCCTGTAACAAGCACTGTGGCTCAGTTTTTAATATCTACAGCAAAGGCTTCAGAACCACATCAGCAAACACAGTATTGTTCTTCTACATTAGGATCAAACCTACATTCAGTCTGAATTCAAAAGGAAGTGTACTGAATTCCGATTGCTGAAACACAGGTTTCCCACCCAAGGACCAGCCATGTCTTACCTGAATGTCTTGGTGAAGTTTTAAGAGTTAAAGCTTTAAGCCAAAACTTGAATTAGGAGACTTCTCAGCTTTCTGGGAAAATTATTTCGAGAAAGACCATAGAATGGTTTGGGTTGGGAGGAACCTTAAAGGTCATCAAGTCCAAAATCCCCTGCCCTGGGCAGGGCCACCTCCCCCCAGCCCAGGTTGCTCCAAGCCCCGTCCAACCTGGCCTTGACCACCTCCAGGGATGGGGCAGCCACAGCTTCTCGGGGCAACCTGCCCCAGGGGATCACCGCCCGCACAGGAGAGAATTTCTTCCTCAGATCTCATCTCAATCTCCCCTCTGTCAGTGTCAAACCGTCCCCCCCTGTCCCACAGCTCCCCTCCCTGATGCAGAGTCCCCCCCCACCTCTCCTGGAGCCCCTTTAGGCACTGGAAGGGGCTCTGAGCTCTCCCCTTTTTCGCCTTCTCTTCTCCAGGCTGAACCCCCCAACTCTCCCAGCCTGTCCAAAGCAGAGGGGCTCCAGCCCTCCCAGCATCTCCGGGGCCTCCTCTGGCCCCGCTCCAACAGCTCCGTCTCCTTCTGCTGGTGGGACCCCCCGAGCTGGAGGCAGTACTCCAGCTGGGATCTCCCAAGAGCACAGCAGAGGAGCGAATCCCCCCCCCTCGCCCTGCTGGCCACGCTGCTGGGGATGCAGCCCAGGGTGCCAGTGGCTTTCTGGGCCGCCAGCACATGTTGCCAGGTCGTGTTGAGCTCCTCATCCACCAACACCCCAAGCCCTTCTCCTCAGGGCTGCTCTCCAGCCATTCTCCGCCCAGCCTGGAGTTGTGCCTGGGACTGCCCTGAACCACGTGCAGGACCCTGCACTTGGCCTGATTGAACCTCATGAGGTTCACACGCGCCCACCTCTCCGGTCTGTCCAGGCCCCTCTGGACAGCATCCCTTCCACAGAAGATACAGTCACGTACCTAAAGGCAAATCTGTAGTTCCCATCTAACAGAAGGGTAACTTGGTAATACAGAAAGTGACGTCAAAGAGAATTAATGATGAATAACACCTAAAACCAAAATTTACTCCTTCACACTGGCTTATGTCAGAAGAACTCATCGTTCTTGGCATAGCTAGAGAAAACATCTTAGTTACAGGACACTGCCATAGAAAATTCAAGTCCTACTACAACTTTTGTCATCCAAAATTAGCAGAACAGTTTCCTTTTGCACAAATTAGCTCAGTCTTTCCTACGCTTCCAGGTGAAATACACTCAAACTAGCCAACAAAGGTACTGAAATCCATCTACTGCCTCACTCATCTTCTTCAACTTTAATAATTTATTAGTTACAGAAAACCAGCATTTAGTTAGACATTTTTCTTCCTGCAGCAAAGTTCAGCTGCACTGCTCTGAATTACAGAGGAGTTCGCAGCTTTCCACTGTGGAAGTAAGAGACTTAATTGAAAATTGTATTCAGCACTTTCAACTTATTATGTTGAAAATGAATTTCAAAGTTAAAAGAAAAAAAAAAGGCTTATGCAAAAATTGTCATTAATTCATTTACTCTCATATAGCTCCAGCAGCATAGCTGGCAAAAGAAGATGCATTACCACAATACACTTTTCAATACACTTTTCAGGAAAAGACTTTTTTCAGATTCTTTTGGGAAATATAAACATTTTCATTGAATAATTAAATCTTTTGAAAGTCCTGAAAAAGCTTTTTATGTATTATAATTCACAAGCAGCATGACCTAGAAGAGTGACGACAGCTTTGTAAGCAGACAGCTCCACGAAAACAGTTCACAACAGTTTTGAATCTTAATGTTGGTGGGTTTTTTTCCCCCATCCTTGAGAAATGCAGTGTTCTTTGTGAACATACACTTACCTGTTGTAATTATTCCTGTGCAGGTTTTGGGGACTAAATTATCAGTTCCGCTGAAATACTGCTCAACTGTTAACATAGCATGCCATGTGCTCCTAATTTGAGAATAAACAGAGCTAAAATTCCTCAGAGAAGATCTAGAGACGTGTTGTTACTGAAACCTGAACAACAGTGCCATCAAATAAACACAATGCCAAAAAGCCAGCATTTAATACACAATACTTTATTCTCCCTAAGGACAAATATCTTGCGTGATACTTTCTTAAGATCCAAGCAGTCTAGATAAAACAAGGAAAGTTTTAAATTCTGTTAGGGACGTGGGCTTGACACCAAAGAAAGATCTGGCTTTATTTTCATTCCTTAAAAACAGAGAAAACACTAAAAACATCCCAAATAAAAATTAAAATGTAACAACAGATTTCAATATTAATCTACTATTTATTCATCTTCAAAGTCCTGTAGCTTACAGATTGCATTCTGAGCATGGCTGGGCAATATAAGAGCTTTAACATAAAATTACTTTCTAATTTGAGGTTCAGAGGAATTGGAAATACAAGCATGCAGTAAAACCGCATGCAGCAAAAGTCCCTCGCAGTTCTTAAGTCTGATCACTTAGAAATAATAATGGCCTAAATTTATGCCAGTAAGTAAAATAAACCGAAATCTACACTTCTGATGTGAATGTGGCGACCGTGACAAATTCTAGGGCAGAGGCATAACATCAAAGGCATGCATTAATCTTATGGAAATCGAGATCTTAAAGAAACAACCTTGACTGTGGCAACTTGAAAAGACCCACAGTGAGCAGAGTAAGGTGCAATTTTTATTTTTTAACTTGACAGCTAGTGAAACAATTGTCTCTCGGCCCACGTGAATTGGGGGAAGCAATTCATTCACCAAGTGAAAAATGAGAGTAAGTGGTATCTGAATAGAATTTTAATGCTAGCGAGCAAAAACATGACAAGGATAATGTACAGACTACGTTTTACTCCCTGCGCTGAATTCTTTAAAATATTATCCAGTGTTTTCTTGCCACTAAAAGCCAAAAAGTAATTCTGCTGGCAACCCACATACTTTCTTGAGAGGGGAAAATCACCACTATCATATTTACACAGTGAGCTTAGAGTGATCTATATAGCAGGTAACCAAGAAACAAAAAATCCACTGTATTATACCCCATCAACTAATAGTTCTTACTTCAGCAGCGCAGAAAAATGACTACATGCATATGAAAGTTCTTAAAGTTGTTTCTTACCTTCTGAGGCTGTCCTTCTTCTCTTCCCGTGTCAAGCAGCTATCCAGGTGTACATTTATATGTTGCTCTGGAATAGCAACCTCACAAACAGGACAATCCACTGAAAACAAGGGACATGGAATTTACTAGCATGTGTATTGCAGCAGAGAGCAAAGGTTTTCATCTGAAAAACTAATTGTTGATTGAGGAAAAGGAGAAACCAGAATTCCAGATTTCTTTTTTTTTAAAAAAAAGATCTGGCATGTCTATGCAGAATCTTCATTCTTTGCTCTCATTTTCATTCCGGAACACTTATTTCCCTCTCTATCTAATATCAGAATGGCTCATCTTCCCTGCAGTCAGATGGAATGAAATCTCTACTAAAAATCTGGAATAACATACATACTACACGGAAACCTAAGGGCTAATATAAACACAAGCGTATTTCCCTGCTAATGTCTTTCACTTTTGCAGTATTTCACTCCTAAATAAAGGAAGCTGCTTCATTTCGCCAAAACAGTACAGCACAAACTTTATTCGTATTAACATCATGTTCCCAGTCTATGGCTCTCAACAGGACTGTCAATACATGAGCTAACTCAGCCTCACAGGAATTCTACCATCCAAGCGTGCCTCCTGCTCATTTCTTAGTGCAGATAACTAGATGTTGTGACTTGGGCTCAGAGGCTCACAACTGCCCCGTAGCATGGTCCCACCCAACTCAGAATTCTTCTTGCCTCATATTTTCAAGAAGCGCCTGTAAACATTACCTTCAAAGACAGTCAAAAACCACAGACTTAAAATATTTGTCTTTAGCAATCACATTATGTCAAAAACAAGAGGCTACCTTTAAATGAACAGTATGAGAAAGAGATTCTTTAACTGACAGCCCCTGTATTAGTATGGAGGAAGTTGGTTTTGATTTAAAAGACAAAAGAACCTATGAAAAACGCTGTGAAATGTTGTGGGAATTGAGAGAGTTATCTGGTAACGCTGCTTTGCAATTCCTGACTCCCATGACATCATATTCTAGTCAAAGGTTAAAAAAAAAATAAAATGTTGGGACAGTAACATAACACAATAGTTCTGAGCAGTCTATTATTGTATCTGAAGTTAACATCTCAATTCTTAACACAGGAACAAATAACACTCACTAAAACCACTTCTGCACTGCCTCATTTCAAGTCTCTCATTTATGTTGTTTGACCAACTACTTTTTGCATCTGTGGAAATAATTTCAATGTAATGCATGCTCGAGGATTTAATAAGGTCATAAAATGGTAAGCAAGTGAAAATTTCAATTGCTCAAGAATAAATGAGTGGTAAAATTTCATATGAGTTTTAAATTACTAACGCAAGCAAGTCTGATGCATAAAACTAGGAAACCTAACTTCTGGCTGAGTTGATGCCATTTTCACATGGCTGCTTTTCTGGCTGTATCACATCTTTTACTCAGCTAATGAATAATTACGAACTTCAGAGTTCCAGTTGAATAAACTGTTAAACAAAAGAACAGAAATATGAATTAATAAGAATCAGTGTTGGACTCCTACATGGTCTTTTATTTTAATTTAGGCTCTTAATTGGGTCAATAGGATGGCTGTCACCATGTCAAAACTAAGAGGATTCCGTCATTTTGTTGTAGTTGATCAGTACAAATGGGCATTTTCATGCTTCAAAATAAATTAATCTTAACACTGCAGAATTACAGAAGAATAAAGCAGATTACTTTCTTCTGGAGAGTGTATGAATAGGAATATTAACAAAACTGAAACCGCGATCATTTTGATTGTGGGTGCACCCCTCAAATAACAAACACATTATAAAATACCTTGCTTCTGGTTACTTAAGGATAGGAGAGCAGTATGGATGTCGATGTTGTCTGTCTGGTCATTAAGGGGAAGGAGAAGAGAAAATGACTTCATTTTTTACTGAGTTAGCCTGTTGTGCAACTATTGTTTTTCAGAGTTGTTACTCAAAGCAAAGGAATCTGTAAGCGTTGAACTCCATTTAATTACTTGGCATCAGCCCAAGCTTCCTCATCAAGAACACGCTCGTAGCAGAGCTGTCCCACATAGGCAGTAATCTGAATGAAGCATAGTCCAGTTAAATGGGAAGCATCTGAGCATGCCAATGCAGATCAGAGCGACACAGAGAAATGAGATGAGTGCCACGTACTGAAGGCACAGTAATGCGTACAGCCAACCACAACCACGGACTTGGGGAAGAGAACAGGATAAAACCAAAAATTAAGCACCTCACCTTTATTGACTACTTTTACCATAGACGTAGAAGGCTTTTCCTGACTTTGGGTGCACTCAGGAGTCTCTTGTGATCCCACTTCATTGTCTTTACCATCAACCTCTGCAGAACTGCTGGAAAGGTTATGGTGTTCCTCAGTTTTGAAAATCTTCTGATCTGTTTCTGCCAGGCCGTCTGCTATTGTTGAGGTGCAAACTTTTTCCTTTCTCAAGAAACTGTCAATCACTGGCACCTCTTCTTTTAAAACTGGCCAAGAAATAGGACTCCTAACGTGGCTTTTGCCAGCTGAATGCCTGCTACGGGCCAATGGAGATGAAGTCAGTGGAGCATCCAAGACCAACTGGAACAGCTGTTGTCTAGAAGCATCCAGAAGACAACATGCAGTCAGGTACATTGCACAGTATTAGCTTTTTCTTTGAGAAGAAATCAGAACAAAACCAGACGGAGCTTTTCCTCCATTCCTTCCTCCCTCTCCCCCTTGCTTGCAGGCAGCCCTTGGGAATTGCCCAGCCCACCGCAACCAGGAGCAGGAGCACACCAGCTGAGCCTCACCACGCTCTACACAATCTAAGAACTATCTTCAAACAAAATAAATTACATTTTGTAAATGTGATAAAATGCCTTTCAGAACATCACATGGAACACAGTAAAGAACAAAAGGTTTTCCAACCTACTTGAAGATGGCAGATGACCACTTTCAAGTCAGAGTACTTCAAGCACTGTGTCGTATAGCTGTGGCAGAGGCTCCCAAAACCAAAGAGCTTAGCAGAAAACGTTGCCATGTATATTCCTCCCATCCCTCCTTACTGCGGGTTTCCTTAGCACAGCTGCTCACTGCCCACCCAGCTGAACAGAACCCCACCACGAGACAACTGCGTGCTACTCAGCTCCTGAGATTTACTTTCAGGTAACCCGAACTATTTCGGTCACGTTTCATCAATGATCATCCAAAGCGCACAAACCCTTAAGACTTAAGAACCCTTATACTTAAGAACAGCCCACTCGAGTCTCCACCACAATGCTTACCACCCATCTATGCATGCGTTACCCCCCAATGTACTCCCTGCCATCCTCAGGGACAGCAAGTGTCAAGATGCAAGTTAAACAGAAGTCTCTCTTCAAAGAAATAAACTTGTATTTTATTGGTAGGAACACGGTAGCAGCAGAAGGCTCGTTCTCCTGTCTGTCTCACTAGTACTTTTAGCTTCGAGCCAATATGAAGAATTATAAAGTCACAGTTGTTCTACTCAGGCAATGGCTTAAGATCTTAAAGACCTGTTTTATTCCTACCCCCGCCCCAGGGGTTTTTGCAGAATCCTGTTTACTTTACCACGTATTTTATACAGATCGATCTAAGATAAATTAAGCCAGAGACTGCATTCTTGGCAGGGAGACCGCATAGCGATGCAGCTGGCTAGCCGGCCCGCGTACCTCCTGCTTCGCTTTCACTCTCGTATCATCACAGGTGGAGGGAAGACCTTCCCCACTAACATCAACGACCGACAAACCACACATCCCACTCCTACCCACTGCTACTTTGACAAGAGTCCTCCACATCCTGAGGGTCACAACAAAGTTCAAAACATCCACCCAAAACCAGCCAGCAGAAGCACACATGCAGTCATTAACTTATTCGCCTTTAATTCACTGCTCTGTCGTCCCTGGGCAACCTGCACACCGTTCGCTTGTCGAGCTCTCCAAGAGCGCGAAGCCTGCACGGCTGCCCAGGCGTTCGTTAGCTTTCTCCCTCGCTTGCTGCCATTCTCACAGCCACCTGCTAAGCCCCAGCCTGCTGCATCCTCAGAAGTCCTGCCCAAAAAAAAGGCAACTGCAGAAAAAAAAAGTTACCATCTACAAGCTCTGATGAACTGGGACGGCTTACAAAAAATGGAAAATCATACTGGAAAAGAAGTATGTCTCTAACAACAACTGGAGGAGATGAGTTCACCTCTCAGAGATACTATGTCTCCACTTGCTAAGTGGGGTCAGGAGGACCTTCCCTTCACTTCTCTTTAAAGCAGGACAACACAAGAGGGAGGGATGGGAACAGGGACAGCTTTTGAGGACACTGAGGAGTCTCAGAGCCCCTGCACCAAAAGGCATGGTATACCTCACGTGCCCCTGTGCCTCCACCTCCCCCGTCCACGCCGTGCTGAAGACAGTTCAGCATTGGGTAACTACTCGGGAAACTTTGCAGTCTTTTAAAATAAAGATTTTTCATGTCTGAGAAGAACAACTAATTAAGAATTGTCTATATACATCAACTTACTTTTTAAAAGACAGATAAGTCACCAGGTGACCCCACAATCAAGTTAGGTTTAAGTTAGGTTGCTGGTGAACAACCGGAGCACCCAGCTCAGCACGCCGAACACTCGGCAGTGGTTGTATTCAAGCCAGATTCAGAAGCCCCATTTGGAGTTTGAGCTTCCTGGATTACTGGACGTAATGACCACGTCTGTCAGTGGCAATTCACATCTGTCCCCAGACACTAACTTTCTGCAGTGCAAACAAGTGCAATTAAGTGTGGCAGCAAAACTATGTTTTTCTGTCTGCTTATGCCTAGATATGGACTGGAAGTTTTTCCGGAGGTTAATTCCCCAGCTGACACAGACACAGAGTGGTCTAGCTACTGCTGGCGTGGGACCAGCTTCACGGGGAACTTGGGAGCTAGGTAATGGGAACACAAACAGAGTGCCTTCCCGCAGCCCTGCTCCTGCCTCACGTCTGCTGGTTACAAGGGGAATATTCCATCCAGAAGCATCAGAAGGGTCCGACAGCGTGATCTACTCAACACTGCCAATTATTGCTGCTAATGGCCAAGTACCACATTTCACTGCAGATAAAGGCACAGTATTCTTCAACTTAAAGGTAACAAACTATAGCCTCAGAAGACTTGTCACATCACAGATGGTTATATTCTACAATATATTCTATCACGTTCAAAAGCAAACTAATTAATTGCCTTTTATTCCTAATATGCTTAGGCAAAGTGTAATCCTCAAAAGGATGCAGCTGGGTGTTCGACCAAAGATACACTTTTTAAACTTCCTTTTTGAACAAGGAATGTATCTTTTGGTTATGTAAAAAAATGTCTATTTCTTCAGGATCCCCCTGGTTTTCATACAGGCAGCCTACCGTTAAAGAAGCTAATCAAAGTCAACACACAGTCTTATCACATTATTCTTTTGGCTGTTAAGCAACCATTTTTACACAAAAGCCCAGCGTCCTATGATACAGCAAGCTAAATTCTGCATGGTTCAGAAAACATAAGACAGATCCATAAATGCAGTCATCTGGCATCATATCATAGTTTAGGTTTCCCATAAAATAAAGAATGATACAGCCCCAAAAGGCAAAAATACCTGAATATAGCCAGTTGGCTATATTCATCGTCTTCATCTAGAGAACACAACTGATCTCCCTCATCTTTTCAGTGTATTTTCTATTGCTTTTGAGAGCTCCTCCTCTTGTCAAAGTAACACATTTTACTATTTGTAAAACCAATTATGTCTGTTTATTTTTCCACAACATGTATTCCCTAGCTAAGATGTATTTCCCAATGTGTTCACACTAGCTGACAGCACTCCTAAAACTCAAACATCACATCAGTTTATCTTTTCACCAGGCTTAAGAGCGATACGTGTACCTTTCTCTCAACATTTCTTTCTTGGGAAGTATCACAGCAGTACAGCTTTTAGTACCTCAAATTATCCAGAGGCTTCAGTAGTCCCATTTGTCCCGCAGAAGGCTACCAGGCCAGAGCGCGTGTTTGGAGGTGTGCCTGGACCCAAGACGGACTGCAAACCCAAGCAAGGGGCAGCTGAGCCATCCGGATGAAGGCTGAAGGTAGAGCTGGAGGGAGGCAGGCAGCTCCGTGGCCAGCAGCAGCAGGCGGCAGCCACACAGCAAAAGGCTGAGAGTGCAAAGCTCGGCATTTCTGCAACGTGTCCTATACAAAATGATAGTCTTCTGGACTCGGGAGAAATCCTCTAGAGCTAACAAGACAGGCTACCCTAATAAAAGACTGTATTACTTCAAATGCAGCTTGTTCATATTTGCATGAAGGCAGCCAGAACAGAGAAATCATCTGAACAGAAATTTCAGATTCTGCAATAACAGCTGTCTCAATAAAATATGGTCTGGTATAAAACAAAGAGAGAGAGAGAGAGAGAAACTGGAAAAAGAATCCACAACCCCAAACCTATCCTAAGAATAAGCTGATAATAAAGGTTGCTTTAATTACACCATTGGTCTTCAAATAATCATACAAAGTTTTTCCTCATATTGAAGGATAAAGACATAAGAATAGACTTTCCGAAGGGAACCACTCTTGGCACAGAATCAATGGAAAGAACACTAGGATGAGAATATTAAAACTTGTTTCCAGAACACACTTGAAATCTCTGTATGCCCCCCTTTTTTTTTTTTTGGTGGGAAAATACAGAGAACACCAGTACTAAATTCAAAAGAGGAGAGAAAAGTCCCAGACTAGCTTTTCCCAGAATGTGGTATTTTGGACCTGCTGAGCAGCTTCACTGGCTGTGTGATGACATCTAGTGGCCCTGCCGGACCGGCACCCCACCAACCAGCACCCCACCAACCAGCACCCCACCAACCAGCACCCCACCAACCAGCACCCCACCAACCAGCACCGCGGGGGTGGAAGAGCTGGAGCACTGCGGGCACTCCTCACACAGCCCTGGCCTCTCCCACAGTACCTTTATCAACTGCCACTGCCCTCCCTCAACGCCAGACTGAACTACTCACATTTCTCATTATTCACAGGAATTCTGACAGTTGTTATTGGAGTATCTGGACAATCACGACTACCTTGGAAGATTCACCTGTCACCGAGAGACAGCAGAGACAAGAGAAAGCGTGCAGCTGATGGAGAAGTGCACCCTCTACCATCCATCACCTGGCTGTCCAGCTCGCCTAGAACCTGATTCTACTGATAAAGCTCACAATTTTCATGAAGTTCTGCATTCTGCAAGCAGTTTTCAACATTATCTATTATACTGTTAAGAATTTAACACAGACCACTATCAGTTCTGAAAGGTTTTAGCAGATACAATTTTACCTTCCTGGCACACAAGCAGTAAATGCATCACAGCTGCAACCCTCAGATCAAGGGCACAAGCAGCACCTTTAAAGGCTGAAAGATGAATCAACAAGATGTTAGCAAGTCCTAACACGCGCTGTGACAACCGCTACCCAAATCCTCCTCTGAGACCCGTCCTCTTTGATTGCTGGCTTGGGTTAGGACAGGGAGTTGTGGTTGTTTTAGTTTAACTAAAAACAGTCAGTCACCTTAATGCTCTGCATGCAGCATGCCCTCTCTGCCAGGCATGCTTTAATGGCAGTATAAACATCTTGCAAAATTTTTTCTCTTCAGATCTGCAAGACCCACAAAAAAAATTTCAGCATCCTCCACTGAGATCCTGGTTCCCATTTTATGATCTGTTTACTTCTCCCTTGCCGAAGCAGCTATGAAGCAGAGAAAGTAGGTGGGGATCTACTGCTGCCACAGAAATAAATTCCGGGGAAGAGACGGGGTTGTGAATCTTCCTAGGAACAGCTCACACAGGACAATCCTAACTGTACTACAGGACAATTTCTCTCCTTGAAATACCTTCTGCAGTCCTCCTGGAAGTTTAATCAGTGTATTAGAAATGACAGTACCTGCTCTCTCAAGCACTCAAAGTGGACGTGTTTATTCCTCTGACTCACTAGCTGTCAAGTAACCTAATCTTAGGAAACTAAGATATAAACTCGAAAGTAAAAACACATTTTTCTTTCCTATGTATGAAAAGAAACCACAGATCATTTTCAGCAAGGACTAGTTTTCTACTTATGCAAGTATAATTTTAATTACTGTTGCTAAGTTTTCTAACTAGGTGATACAGAAACTGACAATTTTCATGAAAATGATCTCTTTATTAGAGGATAATGAAATTAATTTCAAAACAAACCCAAAACTTTACACTTGTTGTTTTTGAAGACACTGGCCTCATTGCAACCGATAAAAAATATTGTTCATAAAGGAAAGGTGGCACAAATAGCACTCCCTGTCCTGCTCTCCTGACCCGGTCCAAGTGATGAATTCTGCCGGCAGAGCACGGCACAAGCAGCAGAGAGGATGCCGAGCAAAGGTTGCTCTCACCCTACCAGGAGCCTCCGGGCCCCATCGGTCAGAGCAACGCATCCCATAACTCCTGCACTGCTCCGCATCCTTGGGTGCGCCTGAACACGAGGGCAGGGCAGTGTGAATTCAGACCTACTGAAGCCTGTTCAGAACTGCTCCTCCACCCTTTCACAGAGAATATAACATTAATGGGCCACAACGAACGACACAACATCTTCACTTCTGCTGGGAAACGTCAGAGTCCACCACTTGAACTGGGAGGAAGCGGGATTCCCAAGACAGCACTCACCGAGCATGAATGACCACGAAGGCTCTAATTCTGCAAACACTTGTGCACAAGCTGAACACTGAGCTAAATGGATCAGCACTCAGCTCTATTTAGAACGATTTCCATTCCGTGCACACACTGACCTCGGAGCACAGCTTTTACTTTGCTAAGTACTACCAACATTAACATTTTCTTTCCCTCCAGGCCTGACTTAAGAAATGTGTTTGCATTTTGTGAAATACTGGAAAGATTTAAGGCCTAATTTTCATAAACACTAAACTACCCGAGGCTCAAAGTCAGGGCAGGATGGAGTTGAAGAGCTCAGCACGTTTCAAAAATCAGCCCCCAGGCTTTGGATTCGTTTTGGGGAGGGCCAAAAAGAAACCTGGGGAAGGAGGGGGGCAGACAGAAGAGTTGTCCCGTACCAACATCGCCAGGGCAGAAACCCACATTGCTCTTAGGATCTACCGATACTCGTATCACGTGAGACTCTCCAGGCAAGGACTGTTCTCCTCGAACACAGGTCCGCCTGCAGCGTCAACCCAGTCCCAGGCGGAGGCACGAACGCAGGGTACCCGGCATCTGAAGCGACGCGAGATTTACTCACTATCCCTGTTCCTCTTACGAGTCTGTCTCATTACAGCAGCTACCTCAGCACAGCCTTTGTGCCGGGCCTGGCTTACCCAGAGCCAGAGGGAACCCTGCGCTGGCACTCTCCCACCTCACCCCCACCCGGCGCAGAACAGGACACTGCAGCTTCTGTCTTATTGATCTAACTGTATGCTGAGAAATTGATTGAACTCCAAGTCACAAAAAGAAAGATTATTAAACTACTCTGACTGGTAAGATTTATACTGATCCATTAAAGCAGTCAAAAAAAATTAACGTTTAAGATTCAATATCATAATGGATCCAAGTCAGCAGTACTTGTTCCCTGCAAAATTAGACATTACCAAAAAAATAGTAATCCATTTATCACTAGGAAACACCACAGACAGAGTTCAAGCTAAAATAATGGAACTGTAGAACTTCAATTCTTCAAATAAAATCAATGCAATCTAATAGTGGTCATATAGAAGATTAGATCTTCATCACAGAGAAACTCTCTCAAGAAACAAAGCTATAAACTGAACTAGGATTTCTACCACTTCTGAAGCCAAGAATCTCACTGACTTCAAGCTCCAAGTTCATTTCAGAGAAAAAGATGATAGTGTATTTGTCTCCCATAGACATAGGAATACCTACAAAATACTTAGCAAATCACCACACTGCTTCTAATCCAAAGAAAACAGAGCTAATAGAAGAAATCTCATATATCTACTGGGGCAAGCATTTACCAAGTCATGCTTACTCTGTTGTTCCCATCTTTCAAAGGGATGAGCTGATCAAAAATGAATTAAAAACTAACTGAAAAGTAGACAAGAAATCCAGGTGAAAGCAAAATAACTTCATTACTTCTTTTATCCAGGAAAACTCACATTTGTGGTCCCTCAATACCTACATTTTTCCCATGCAATGACTTTGCCAAGAGACTTCTCTAGCAAGTTAGCCATTTCCACTGGACAAAATCTTTCTGTTCAGAATTTCCCCTGCACACATCGGAAGGATCTTCGAAGAAAATATTTGTTACCATTATTTTCCCCGTAGAATCCTGACACATCTTGCTTGACTTCCTACGTGTTGGAAGAGACTAACTTACACGGCAGCTAACCAGAAGCAAAACCAAAATAAGCTTAAAGAACCTCCACACACCACCTGAGTGGGCAGTAACCTCCAGCCAGAAAACTGTAGCATTTTTCCAAAAGTGTAAACGTTAGTCTTTGACAACTTCTCTGTGACACTGCAATTCTTTCCGCTCAGTCCTCACACTGCTCCTCTATAAGGGTTCCTAGCCTGCTCACACCAAGTAAGTCACACCTGCCTTTCCAGCTGCCAACCTAGAGACAGTATTCATAAAATTAAAATATACCTTGCAGAATTAAAGCTCTTTACGAGTTCATCTAACGTCCGGTTATTTTTCAGATCAGATTCCGAGACTGCCTATTAAAAAAAGAAAGAAAGAAAAGGGAAAAAAAAAAAAACAACACAACAAACATTCAAATGCAGTGAAAACAAGTACCCAGAAAATGTTCAAGTGGTCAATAATTTGTTTCTTGGATCAATGCCTCAACTACCCCAGCTAAATTGCTATGTGAATGAAGATGTATAAATTGTAAACATTTTTTCCTGAAAAATTTCTCAAACTAAAATAACAGCCCAAGAACTGTAAGTCTGGAAAATGATAGGTAAGAGATAAAAATGAAGCATAAAGCTAAAGCAACCAAATCCAGTGTACCCAGTCTCCATCAATGCTTTATTGTAGCCCAGTTCTAATGATTTTGAAAACCAAACCAAGGATCCCATGAACGTGATAAGAACCTGAAGCAACAAGGCATGAAAATGGATGAAGGAAAATATTAATCTTCCGATTATGGAATGAAAATATGAATTATGAGACGGCTTTATGCATTCAATTCATTCTTTTTAAACAATTTCTGATTTTTATCTCTCTGGCTGTCTCTCTCTGTTCTTTTTTTACAAAACTTTTATTAGTCCTCCTCATATCAATACCTGTGATTTTTAAGAAGGCAGTAGTAAAACGTCCTCCATCAAGTAGTCTGCACTTGTTTGAATGTTTAAAAACTGGCAAAGCTACAAATAGATCTGCTTTCCAGTCTTGAAAAGTCTAGTCTGGTTCCTGCTTTAGAAACACAGAAGAATATTACTTCTATTTTGCCAATATTCCTGAAGCGCCATTCATTGTTTTTAGGCAGCCTACCATTTTTAGGAGTTCAATAAAGCCCAATAGGCTTAAGATGAAAAGTTAGATTAAGGCCTAGAATAAATTGCATTCTGTGTTCTTTAATCAAAAAAGGTCTTCGAGTCAGATCATAATAATCACCCACCTGCAGAGCAGGCCAAACCTGCCTCTAGTGCTTTTCACATTTCACCTAACTCTCATGGCAAACGCCTCCTCTCCCTGGTGCGTAACAGTCCTCTCACCCCGAAAACGGCTACCCGGTGCAGTCAGTGAGCTTTAGGACTAGGTGGTCTGTGGGCACTTCTAAAGACTCCTTGAAAGATGACATGAGGCCACTCAATCATGGAAAATTTAAGTGCTTAAGTTTCAGCACTCCTGTTTTAAATGATGGTGTGTTTTGACAAATTAGGAGGCAATGTTCAATGTTTCATGACAGACTCTATGCACAGCTCTGAGCCAAACTGCAGGTTTGATACTCCATCCACTTCTGCCTATGCCAACAGAAGAGTAGCTCTGAAACAGGAGAATTCCAGTTGCAAGAGCACCACACTTTGCCCAAAGAGCTGCTCACCAAAAGGAACGGTAATAATATATGACCAGAATTCATTATTTCTCATAGTCCAAAGAGAAAAGGTCCTGAGATTTGCCAAAAAATAAACAAAAAAAAGCTGAGGAGAAGAAAATCACTTACCACACAGCATGTTGGACATTGAGTTTTGTAGGACAAAAACTTGCGTATACAAAGGGAACAATCTGGAAAAATGAAATACATAATTTTTAAACAGGTGTTGTTCTAAATACAGTTTAACATCCTTACCAGTATATTTTCTTTTTGTTCAATATATGCAAACTATTGCACAGTACACCAATATTGAAAATACATTATTTTTCCATAGAACTAAGACTACCATTGTAGCAAAAAAAAAAAAAAACACCTGTATTTTAGGCAAGCATCTTTCAACATTTAATCTCAGTCCCTCTGTCAAAAGCAGATGTTTACTGTTGTTTCTTGAACACAAGACAAGAAAACCTGTCTGCTACCACCACTAAAAGCAGTGTCTTTGCACTGCTCACTCCCCCACCACTCCTTTTTTTTTTTTCTTTTTTTTTGACATGACCGATGTTGGATCACTTTCATCTTCCTGCATAGCCCGAGACAAACTCTCTATCCCCTCTTTTTCCCCAAGTGTTTCTTCCCCTTTCCAAAACACTACCAACCTGTTGTTGAGGGAAAAGGCTAAAAAGGATGGGAAACAGCAAAGGAATACTAACTGAGAAACGGCTTAAATGTTTTCTAGGAAAAGCAAGTCCTATCATCGTAGAATAGTTAGAGTTGGAAGGGACCTTAAAGCCCATCCAGTGCCACCCCCTGCCCTGGGCAGGGCCACCTCCCCCCAGCCCAGGTTGCTCCAAGCCCCGTCCAACCTGGCCTTGAACACCTCCAGGGATGGGGCAGCCACAGCTTCTCGGGGCAACCTGCCCCAGGGGATCACCACCCACACAGCAAACAATTTATTCCCAATATCTCATCTAAATCTCCCCTCTTTCAAGTGTCAAACCGTTCCCCCTCGTCCCCTCGCTCCAGTCCCTGGTAGAATCCCTCCCCAGCCTTCCTGTATGCCCCCTTTCAGGACGCTTCAGTAGATTCTTCAGTGAAATATGCCATAAGCTTCATTTTGTCGCAGTAAATACCTGAAATTATTCTACGTTCTCTACTTATCTAGGAGCTAGCATAACCTCTTCAAAATATAAGAGGTTTCATCACTCTCCAGCAAAACAGCCATTCACTTGCTACATCATTAGTGGTCAGTCTCAGCACTTAACACAGTTGGCAACAGGTACCCAAGCAGATGTATTTCAAAGACCCTCTGTGAAGGAGTCTGAAAAGCAGCAGGAGCATTAATGCACTAATTCAACACTTAAAACTGCAAATCCATCTAAATACTCAAAAATTACATTATACAGTAAGATCTGATATGGGGGGAGGAATCCATTAAAAAAAAAAAAGTAATACATTTTAACTGAATGAATATGAATCAACTTATAGACCTAGTCTGCCAACATCCGACAACCAGTCACCTTCAGTAAGCAATGGGACTGACCTGTGCAGCCATCGCTGCTCATAGCCAGGGTAGCTGAAGCATGTTCAAGGATAATAAATCACATCAGCTTTTACCTTAACATTTGTGCCTAGGGCTGGCTCTGGGCTCGCGCAGAGAACACAACGGACTCGCCATTCTCTGTCCTCAGTCCCTTCTCTCCCACTTGCCTCCTCTTCCCACAGGAGAAACAGCCCCACCATGGCCCAGGTCTCAGCCTGCCTTTCCTGGGGTAACAAAATCGGTCTCTGTCTATTACAGATGGCACATACACCAAGAATTAAACGGTGCCACAAAGTTCACTTCCATCTGCACCAACAGATCATACCGACCTGTAAAACTGCATCTACCAAAACAGTTGCAAGACTCAGCCACAGCACTGTCTTTCATTATAGAGAAAGGAAGAGAATCCCAAAGGATGAATTTAATCTGAGAACCATCACTGGATGCTTAATGACAACGAGAGAGTGGAAGCATAAAAATCACTGCCAGCAAATAGCAATCTCTATTGAGTTTAAACTGGAAGTAGCAAAGTTGTGAGAAGAAAGAGGAATAAAACAAGCTTGGCACAAGAAAAGTCAGTAATGCCACAATTTACACACCACACACTGAAGACCATAGCTGCTTTTTTACGTGAGTAAGCAATTCTGAAACCTGCTTAGCTGGAGGCATAGTAGTAATTTCAATATAGATTTAAAGAAAGGAAAATCCTGGATGACAAAAAAGAGGTCCCTCCAACAGCTACAGACAATTCGTATGAATAAGTCAGAGACCCGGGTTCCCCTGCCCGCTTTCCAAGCTACGCTGGCCCCAGAGCGATGCTGCATGGATGCACTCCTGCTGAGCTGTGCCTGGGGTAAAGGCTCCAACTTCAGCGTGCTGCTGGTTCACCGGCACCGGCAGCTGCTCCCCACACCAGCTCCATCCCTTGCCGGAGGGCAGCGCCCTGACAGCGGAGGCAGCAGAACACAGAGCCGAGATGCCCTCAACCACCGCCTGCCACCAGACCCTGGCTGGGCTCCTCAGGAGAACAGCGCGTTTAACACCCCCGAGCCAGCAGCCATGCCCGCGAGAAGCAGACCTGGCAGTGACAACCTCTTACACCACCTCAGCTTGAATGGACAGAGTTTGTCCTCTTAGACTGAAAGTATCAGAAACCTCAGGGCCACAATTCCTTCTGCCCCTGGTGAGATGTCCACATCACAGAAGATGTCCATCTTCAGATGCTTTTACTATGTGAAAGAAAGATGAATGGCACATCTATTCTGTCACTAAAGATACAATCTGAAAGCACTGTGGAAGTTCAACAACTGTCAAGAGTGCTGCCGAATGCCACTGGTCACCCAAGAATGAGCAGAGGAGGAATTTTAAGTGGCTATAGGTGCAAACAGATTATAGAGATGGCTAGAAGCCCTGTAATAGATTATTAAGTAAAAGAAACAGAAAAAGAAATCTGCAATCTGTATTTCATCTTCATCTATTCACAAATAATCACTCGTTAATGGCAGATGGGTTTTTTCTCCAATTATACAATCTCAGTGGACTGAAGAGATTACACAAAGACAACCAAGCAGAAAATATTTCCAGAAGTCTTGATTTATTGTAGAAAACTCATGCTTGCTGCAATTTGCAGGGGGAAATTAAATGTGTAATCTGTTAAAAAAAGAAGGGACACAGATTGCTTCTGAAGCTAAGGGCCTCTGAACCCAGCTGTGTCACAGGCAGGCTGTAACACCAGCTACTCTAGAGAATTTCCAGTGCACCCCACCGTAAATATGCTTTTTTCAATGGTGATAGTTTTGCCAAGCCAAACTAAATTTCATTGCCAAACTACAATGTCCTCCTTAATGTAAGGAAGAGGAAGTGCTATAGTTTCTGAATAAAACAATTATAAGCATTTATTTTAACGTGAGAAAAGGCAATGTACTTCCCCCTAATCTGACTTTCAATAAACTGCTTTGCTACCATGTTCCAGCAGATATCAGCCTGAGGCAGACAGGGCAGCACGGAAAATTTTAGCTCATAACACTTAATGCTCTCTGCCATACAGACTTGCATTTTGTTCCGTCCTCAAGATGTTATGAAAGATATTTAAACGAAGAATTGTAGGAATAGGTGGCATTTAAGTGCATTAATCCAGACGACATGTGTTTGGGTTGTCAAAAGGTTGCAACCATAACTGCACAAGGAAAGGCTACTGGCTGCTTATCAGCTTTCATCCAAAAGAGCTCCTCAGAGGCAAACATCCCTGCTGGCTAAGCTGCGAGTAGAGGAGCTAAACGTTCTCCAAAGGAAATAAAGGATTGGCAACCTCTCCTTACATGCCAGGAAATAATAAATGGTCAGATGACTACTTGTCTCTGAAACTCTAAAGGAGAAAACTCTTTTTTGAGGACATTTTTCAATAGTTTTCTGTCATTCGGCTAAGGTGCAAGCCAGCCCATCGCACCCCCACAAGGTCATTCACCCATCTCGCATTTCCTGGGAAAGACGGAAAAAGACCAAACCATTCACTCAAAATTTCCTTGAGTACACCTTCTTCAGCCCAATCTGTCTGCCTTAATCTGTCACCCGATTAAGTCAGGCTTAAATGGCGCCACAGGGCCAAGACCCACTCCCATCACAGCCACCCTTGTCCTCCCTGGCACAGGTGGACTTCCACCTTACGGCAAGGTGCACTCGCATGACATACGTTAATTCTAAATTCCACAAAGTCACAGGACAGAGGGAAGAACAACGTCACCGCCCCTTTATTGACCTTGGCTCCTACTTGAGCAATTTTTATTAAAACTGCCGTTCCTGTGCAATTTTTATTAAAACTCAAGTAAATTTAAAGTGCAACCATCAAGTCAATAGTAATAAAACACATCCATAAAATACATTAACCCCAGGACAGGGACAGAGACTTACAACAAAAAGCACATAAGAGTTCTGTGTTCACCTCTGTGAACTCGGGACTCGTGAAGTTCAACCAGGACACGGCGGGACGGGACCCGCCAGAGCAAGAAATTTACACACAGCACTTTCCCTGCGGGAAGCCACCACGCTCCTCTCGCCATACTTACAGTTATGGGAACACTGAGGGATGATCATGGCGATGCTGAAGTAATCAAAGCATATCCCGCACCGTAACAGGTCATCCACGGCCTGCAAGGGGAAGCCCAGGTCACCGGACGGCTGGCGGCAGGACAGGGCAGGCGGCGGGCACGCTGGCGAGCGCAGCCCTCGCCCGTCGCCCTGTGCCCTCGCACAGCGCGGGTTAAGGCAAAAAAAAAAGGATTCAATGTCAGGGCGTTGGGCCGCAGCCCCGACGGCAGCGGCGGCTGCCCCACGG